AGGAGAGAGAGAGAGAGACTCACCATACGGAATCTCCGATATCTGAGTGCTTATATAGAGTGCTTATTGGATGTACATGACGATGCGAAAGAAGTACATACTAAAAGGATCTCGAACAGTAACACGGTGAGTCGATTACACAGCAAAGAAGAAAAGAATAATGATCATAAGGCGGGACTTGTACTCTAGCCTCTTGCACTCGAACTTGCTTTTATCACACTTAATATTCTTATCGTATCGTAACGTTCTTTCGTGCAAACTCACTGAAAAATATTTTGCTTTAAATAAGAAGAATATTTTTTAACGGCACATCGAAGGTAAAAAAATATTCTAGTTTTAACTAATCGACCTGTTTGGCACTGTGCAAACGAATATCTATCAATTGAGCTATTTTTTATTTAATTTACTCATAGTGGGGGGCTAGTGTGAAAATGGCCCCCCGAAATTTGTTTTGTTAATAATTTGTTTTGTTAATAACTTTTTTTACTAGAAGTGTGCAAACGAAAATTCGAAATGTGCATACATGTGCAAACGATGAGCAATCGAATGAGCTATAGAAACTTTATGTTTTCAATGTTGAGGGGGCTATCTTCACACAGGTTCAAATTCATAAGTTTCTCCATTATTAATTTTTACAATCGCAATGCTAAAAAATTATTTTTTAAATAAATCACGAATTACTATCACGTTGGAAATAACGTTACGATATATCCACAATCAATATCCAAGAAAAATAAATCACATATCGAGTGATTCAATTTTGCCGATTTCTCGATTGCCTCTTACTTCGTGACCGCTAGTATTATATCGTTATCGAGATAATCTCGTGAAGCATCTATACTACTTTCATAGAGAGAAGAACCTCTCGTCTTAAGTATTTACATGAAAGATCCTGGCGAAAACTCGGGGTGTGAGCGATGTATTCTTGAGACTTCTTGTGTCTCCTTGGAACTTCGAAGAACCAGAGGCTCGCAATCGGAAAGCCATGAAATTGAATTTATATCCTTCAAGATATTACAATTTAACTTCTCTAAATCGTATAAATATCTTGAGCAATATGATGCAAACGCAAATTCCCATTTAAGATCTCTTTAAATCAAAATGCAAATTATGATTTTAACTGAAAAAGTAAGTCATTTCCGTAGAGTCATAGATGTATTACGACCGTTCATTATTTCAGTCTGTAATTATTCGAAATTATAACTTAAGCGCTAAAGTTTTAACTAATGTCAAGCCACTCAAAGGGCATATAAGACAATACTCATATTTCATCGTTGCTCATTTTTCGCCATGTTAATTGGCTTTCACTATGCGCTGTGCTTATTTCGTACCATAATTATCGTCGCAGAGATTGTACTCGACAGTTTAAAAGTACTAAAGCTTTATAACTATATGAATAATTTTAATAACTTTCAACAATAAAGATAAATATAATATTGATTCAGCAGAGATAACACGATACTATGTGCAATTCAATTATTCTCTTTCTTATTATTTTCGTCATAGATATTCCGCTGTCGCTATATTTTACATTTTCAATGATATTCTCATATGTATAATCAGAGTTCACAAAGATCTTAACTTTTTTATCATTAAAATAATTAAAATACATGAATACAAATTAAAAATTTAATCTAATGATGTGATAATCATACTTTAGATATCATCTACATATAAAGTAAAACAATAAAATTACTTGTCACTATCACAAGTTATCTAATTAAAAAAAAATTAATTAGTTAAGCTTTAAAGATTTATAATAATTTATAATAATTATTATATCTGCATGTATATATAAGTAGTTAATAAATTAAAAATTCAGTTTTTATTCGAATTTATATTAATAAATTTATAAAGTACTAGTTTATGAGCCAAAAAATAAAAGAAGAAAAAGTAATTAAAAATCTGTTACCTGAGTGAAAATTAATAATAGAACTGTAATCAATATGCATTATTTAAAAATTTATGTAAAAGTTGATGAAAATGTAATATCAACTATACATTTTGTGTACGTAATTCAATGGAAAATTCAACTCGATTAAAAATATATAGCATAATGTATAAAATATTATCTTTTTTTTTTTTTTATAATATTATAACAAAAACCTGAATAAATAGCGTGCGCGTAATGCGAGCATAATTATTTTTTGGCATTATAAATTTTCATAACGATGACTTCACAGCGATGACGATGCAATTTGTCTGGCGAAGAATTCCGTTGGTTTTGCGTAACAAAATGTAACAGGCGAACGTTATATATTGCCCCGTCGTAATTACCCGCAGCTACCCTCAGCGCCGTGGTTTCTGCGTGCATTCAGCAGCATCGTCGCGCGTCCCCTCGCTGCCCCGCACACAACGATCCCCTAATAAACCCTCTCGACCTGTGCGCCGTAACTATTACTCAGAATTTATGGCAGATCGCGATAATTAATAGAGCCGCGATAGAAACGGCAGTTTGCGCACGAAGAGCTATCTCTCGCGCTTCTGGTATTGGAGCAGCATGGCGAACAGGACGCAGACGTGTCGCTCGGAAATTCCATATGCATGAGAACAACGATGCACTGGATATGTCCGAAATGTCGCGTCCAGCGTCTTCGGGAAACGTGAGATACGGGCGTGAACGCGTTCACGACCTTTCGACTTTTGTCATCCGGTTTGCAAAACGACGCGATGAGTCATCTGGCGCGAGATAAACGTCGGTTCACGATATGCGATATCAGAAAAATCGCTTCGTCACACTTCGATCGATGAAAATACAGACGTATTTTTTTAGCTTTATTCTTATCTACATTACTCTCCTTAATAATCCGTTAATAGCAACGTTATATTTTATATCGATGATTTAAAGCCAGCGCGGCTTGTCGTCTTGTCAAGTTGATAAAACCATGCTGGAAACCAGACATGTGCTCCCAGATGATTTATTGCGATTGTTGGCAGTACTTTTTAGACAAAGTCCGAGCAGCATCCGCTCGTGATAAGTTGCAATATCATACTTCAGTCCACTTTCTGAACAAACCACGGCCATAGAAGAGCAAAAAAGGATCAACTAAGTTGTCGTTGTTCTTCCGGGGCCCGGAACTAAGAGACGCGCTCCCCGAGCGCGCGCCACTTTCTTGTCGCTACGAGGCAAATCGCTTCCGCTTTCTTGCGGTGGACATATTACGGGTCGCGGAAAAAGTTCCTCTTAAGCGAAACTTGCGCTAACGCGACGAGTTTTCGGCACGTAGTCGCCGCGGCGTCCCTTGAACATCGACACCGTGTTCGCGTGCGTAACTTTGGCGTCGAGTTTTTGCTCGTAACGTCCAATGAGGGCCCGTTTTTCTTCGTCGATGTGACGACGAACGTGACTTCGGACCGATCCGCGGATTTAATTGAACTCTGAGTTATGATCGCTGACACATCCGAATGGCGATTACGCTATTTTGACGTTGTCTGCGCGATGAGTTTTCAGCCTCTGTCGTTTTTGAATCTACTAATAAATATTTAAGTAAATGGTCTTCCATCTAAACTATTTTA